CTTGTCAGGCTAGTGTGGCTCAAGAGAGCGTAATCCAGGACACAAGTGACGTAGTCATATGTACAGTTCAACTAAAAAGACTTACCAAAATGGATTTTGGAAATAAGGACAATCGCATTTGAGATGGCCACGTCCATGACTGTAGTTTACAGGCATCCAGTATTGTAGAGGTCACGTGACAATTGATGACGCATGTACGTGTTTCCATGACAGATGACTGTGAGAAATGAACAATACAGAATATGATATTTTAGATTCAACACTACTTGGCGGTCATTCGTAACTTTAGACTTCCTTCTCATTGCTATATAATATATGTGACAGAAAACGTTGGTTCTTTCTCCCAGAAATTAGGCCGACGATTAGGGGATTGCCTGAAAGATGACGTAGTTTTAAAATGCTTGCTTAATGAAGAAGCTTTAAATTCGATGGATTACTCTAATTTTATAATGTTTACACAATTGATGTATCTTTTGTTTTCAAATTGATTTTTATCCAGTAGATACGTTTCCTGCGGGTCTCGGCACAACCATATACCATATACAAGGTCTATGGTAGACATACATACAGTCCGTTGTTTATTTGTTGCTGTTTTTCAATAAAATAAAATGGGAGTGGAAGTCGAGTTACCGCAAAAGTCGGGTTACATTTAATTTTTTTGAAGAAAAAAAAATAAATAAAAAACGGATTGTATGCAAGACTAGGTCTATGTCTCAAGTAGAATAGCCATTCATATAAAAGTTTCAATCACAGTGCCTTTATCACCGCCGTAGTGATTGTGTTTCAGCTTAATAGTGTATCATGGCTGCACTTGATATTGAGTAAAAATAAAACTGATTCGTCAAATAGACTAAAAATCGTGACCATACAATCTTCAAACGTCATACACATGTATACAGTTATCATATAGGTCTGAAAAAGAGAAGTGTTGCCCTATAAAGCGACAGTGGTGACAATGGGGCATACTATTACCAGGATATGTAACATACATAATTCTCGTAACAGTTTATATGTGACATAATTGAGCAGTAACTTCTTATATATATTTATACTTCGCCTAATCGTATGCAACTGACCGTGGAAGACATTTCTTTATCCGGTATAAAGCGTCCATTTGTGTGTAAAGATTTTATTGAGCATAAGTGTGGAGTACATGAATTATGAATTTGTTATTTATAAACTCAAGAAATTGTCATAGGTTGGAGCTGTAACTTACAGTACAATAGCGCTATTGTAACAAACTATCTTCTTTGAACCAGGCCCGACAGAAGCTACACTTCTTGTCTGGTCGAGAGCCGACAATGTCCATCGCATCGTTTGAGTATAACGGTATGGTATGGCCACTCAAAACGTGGCTATTATACTTCAAAGCGCAAACACATATGTCAAATTGTGAAATATATTCCAGTATCATAGCCACTCTATAAAATATCACTCTTCTAAATACTGTGATGTATAAATCACAATGGCACTGCGCACATACCTGGTTCCAGAACAATCGGCCCGCCCATATGGATCGTGGTCTTAATAATTGGCTTCCAATATCCAGTAAATCTTTCCTTGGCGACTTCAATGATTGAGAAATTGTTAAAAGTTCCTTCATGATGTCATCTGGGTGTACGCTGTCGCGAAGAAGCGAACTGTTGACGAATAATGCTTCTCTATCTTCTGACTTGGCAATTGTACTTCTGTGATGGTTATCAGACTTCGTGTCTCTTTTCCGCTACATACAAAATAAACAGAGACGGTCACTGTTATGTTATGGAATTACCGTCGTCCATTATTTATCCGTGGAGGTTAAAGCTCCCTATATTAATACACAGTTAATGAAAACTCGAGACATCCACAAAGAACACAAGATCCACAGTTGAAATAAACAAACCTTCTGGCAGCGATTGAAAATATGTGAACGAATGCCTAACGCATTTACACGGCTCCACTTGGCAGCACTTATTCTTTTGTTGTCATGACTACGCAACTTAGCATGTTTTTCCGCCGACCTCCCTGGTAGAGAGAACAAAACATATTAGTAGGTCAGTCAGCGCTATATGATACGCGCTATATGCTATACTAGTATGATACTGAATGAAACACCCAACATTTGTGCGAAATCTCAGACTATTAATAAATATAATTTTAATATCTAAAATAAAATAATAGAACACATGTTACCTTTGCCGACTCTAATTCTGATGAGACTACGAAACAATCTTTGCTTCATAAGTCTGTCGATATCATCGGATGTGAACATAGTTCTTTCGTGTGTACAGATACTGCGCAGCGAACTGAAAATAATTAGGGTGATCTGATCTTTAAATAAGTGCGTGAGTGTGACGTAAGAGGTCAGAATGCCGCTGATTGGTTAAAATAATTGCTATTGCTATTGTTCTAGAGTGCGCCATGTTTTTCTGAACACCATCCCGGATGTCCACAACGCGAGCAAATTTACTCAACTATTTGATGAGCATTTTTGTGAACAAATATGTCATGAAAATTTACATGATTAAGTATAGTAACGACGTTAACCGTTTTATCTATATCGTGCGTTTCAGTTTCAGTGTGATGGCGCTGTGAAATCTGCCATGACAAGCGCCAATCCACGACGGACGATGGAAACAAAAACAAAAGAATTCCGGGTAAGCGGAAATGAACAAGCTTTGTTATCCTTTACGTGGCCAGTATCCGGTCGTGTTGACAAGAACACGTCAAAGCATGTGAGTCTCAATATTCATCTATTTGCCCAAAACCTTGGAAATAAAATATTAGTTTGATAATAAGATATAAATTTCATAAAAAATTGTAATTGTGAATAGTAAGACTTAATTGTTGCGGTATAAGTGACGACGATTACTGGTTGTACACGAAATATGATCATACGTTTACATTCTAGCGCACGTGACAGTACATATATTGTTTCGACCTGCAGTCACTGTTCCAAACTTACTGGAAAATAAGTCTTTTCAGCTAGGATGTTATTTTAGTTAATTTAGCGAATTTGTAATTTCGCTAATTCAAGATGTCGCTTATTTGTAATAAAGTATTCACTTTGCATGTTTTGACAAGATTATGTTAATTCATGCATTGAGTCAAATCATATACTAAATGTGTGTAACTTAGATCCCAAGAAAACAAAGAGGGACAACAAATACTGAACTACAGTCCCCCAACACCGTGTTGAGAGACTGTTACTGAATGTAGGAAGTTTCGCCAGTGTTCTGCCTCCCCCACTTTTTCCGCAGTCGGTATATTACTATTTTACTTCCTCAGTTGCTACTAGTTATGGATATTAACTACACAACTATGACAGTTACTATAGTTTTGTTCACAGTCGCACGACGGTTGAATTGATAAGCTCGTTGATAAAGTGTTCTTCTCGTAATGGCGATAAACGGGAAGATGCTGGACTCGGATTAATGACCACGCACTCGCATTATATACAGTTTTAGCTCACAAACAGTGATTGGTATACATACTGGAGCGCATCGCAGTCTCGACTGAGCTTTGAAAGTTAATACTCAAACGACTTCACGGAGCAGAGCAGACTTTCAGGTGTCCCATAAAATCTCCCAGCTTGGCTGAGTTTTCTGTCGTCAGTTTTCTCACGGTGATTATCATGTCTATTTTGAATGATACGCATTTCAGTCTCGAGCTATCAATTCGAGTGACTGTGGTTTGTTAGGTCCGGGCTGGAACTGACCGACATTTGTTTGTATTAGTAGTATTTCTCAGCTGAGAGATGGCGCAGTAACTCACGCCGGTAATCTACTAGTAATCAAAAACATGCTCACTCAAAATTGTTGACATTATTTTTATTTTTTTAATAATATTTCTCTTTACGAAAAGCCATGAACCAGGGCCTCGTCTGCAACTGTTATGAAATGGAATGGGAATCAATGCACATATAATTAGGCCACGACGCCACCGCCCAGTCATCGTCGGCTTGACAAAAGCCACAAGGTTTTAGAGAACAATAATAATTTGTGGACAATCGTCTTTCGTAGACACGCAAGAAACAAACAAATATGTTTGTGACAGCTGGTAGGCCCATGGTGAGAGAAATAGCACTTACTGAGACGTTAAACATATGCAGCACACTACAGTGCTAGTTTTGTATTTTTTCTCGTGGCATCAGAGCACGAAAATACATAACAACAAAGTTAATGTTTCTTGTGTACCACCAAATTAGAGTGGGTCGATATTTTTTCACGTAAATCGTCGCTGCACAGCGCCATATGCTGACAAGACTAGAGGCCGGTTTACACGGCCAGGTTTATCCATGGGACATATCTCATCGTGTAAACCGACATTAACATGTTTGAATCTCAATTAAGTCTAATAGAAGTATGTTAAATTTCCTCTTTGATAAAACTAATCCATACTTAATCTAGTATATTACCACCATGTAAAAAGTAGCAATTTCATGGAATCTAATTTCGACAATAATGATGTTTTTACAGTAAAAATAGCTCATCCCATGTGGTTAGCGTTTATTTTGTTTTATGCCTAAGAATTAGTATAAGCATAGACCCTCTAACAATCAATAGCAATCTTATGCATTCTGTTGTTGTTTTCTATAAGGTGCTAATCTTTCTATCGCTCACACAATGGGAACGCGCACGTGACGTAGTTGTCTAGACACCATTGTTCAATTTGTTTGTCAATGTTTATATTTAACTATTACAACTTTGTTGATTCCCAGGTATGATCGGGCCCTGGTAATCTCAGGGTCAAAGGTTACACTGAAGGAAGTTAGCCACACTGTTTTCACACACATAAATGGTGAACATTATGACCAGGAAAGGCAGGTCCTTCTACCTTTAATGATTATGACAGAGTTCGGCCACTGCAATTTTCACAGACAGAGTCTATACACTCCCTGGCCCAACCATCAGGCACTAACGTGAAATTCACAAATTACGGGTAAATAGCGACGGGCATTATGACAAACAAGGTATCAAACACAAGCAAAATCACTCTTCTTTCGAAATAGCACCGTATTTTTACTAAGTTTCTATCAGTGGGAAGTCGGGAGAACGATTTCCGTGACGTTGTACTTGCCTAGCTGTCGGACATCTTGCCCGAACGTCGGACACTATTTTTATTCGCCAGTTATTTCTACGACTCTGCCGTTTTGAACAAGTGCACGCTCAAATATAATTCAGAGACCGCAACTCTCACAAAGTCACACGCAATTTGCATCTACAGTCATTACAGTTCTAGTCACTCCCGTCAACTTTCCTTTCAATATTTTTCGCCCGGGTTTCTGGGAGTGCGTATTTATTGTCATACAATTTCACACAGCAGCTACGTGGTCGTTAGCATTGAGGGCGCTGCATTCAATTTGTCACGACGGCATTCACTTTTCCAAAATGTTTAGTAATTTGCTGCTTGAACCTAATGGCGCAGGGGCTCTGTATACAAATATCCGAGTTTCACTTCTGGGTTTCAACAATATATGCACAATTACATTCACTGGCAATTCGACTAAATATTTATATGCATACAACATACCATCGACAGCACTGTGAAAAGGTAATTTCAGAACAAACAAGACGACCATCGTTACTGTGGTTACACACTAGTGTAACTGGTATACTAGTATTCAGCCTGTCACCATGTTTATATATACCTGTGCGTTGGTCTTTTCATATTTTTGTTTGGGCCATTAAATACCTGTTGATATCCCCAGGGTATACAGTGTTGCTACGCACAACAGTAATGTAAAGCCGAGCCTACGTCTCTGATCTTATTTCTTAGTTCCGAATAAGTTTGGAACGCTTGCTACAGTCGCCTAAATAATGACATTGTTATAGTTGGGTTATGCAATATGTGTCGTTGAGGAACTATGTGAGTAGGTACACAACGATATGTTTTACGTGGACACATTGTTTTGTTCTTGTTTAATGCCATTTTAGGCATAAACTAAACAATGCTAAGTTGGTTATGCCTCATACCACTTTTTAGTGACCTAAGGTTATAGTCACAACATAGTAGTAAATAGTTAGTAGTCACTTTTATTAGTATGGATGTGATTTAGAATCATCCGAAATGCTGTCCTTGGTGAGCATTTGGCTCCTGATGGAGTCAACTTGAAGATTAGACAAAAACAGTATTCAAGTTCATATTTTTTTGAAAAATGGTACATGATATTCATTTCTTGCAACATAGTCGCCAATCGCGTGGTGTGGATGAACACGTCACAGTGGAGTATGGAGTGTATATTTTGTTCCGCGTACATACGATGAGTCATATACACACTGACAACGGTTGGACGATTAGTTCAATACGTTTCATAGGCTTTCGAGAAAACAAAAATTGCTGCGTGAGACTGGATTATTTTTATATCACATTAAATGACACTTTTAGAAATACAAGCATGTAGCCAATATAAATAAATACATGCATTACATGTTAAACTCGTGTAAGCAAACATCTTATAATCATGACGTGAAAAAACGATGCCGATGTTCAGCGTACGATTTGTCTTACCGGAATATGGGACCCTGACATTTTTATGATGTTTTCGATTTATATGCGATGTATAACACGTGTAACATACTGTAAATACTGGTCAATATCGACAGAAAGTTAAACTAGCGACTTCGAAAACCTGATTCATGAAGTTTCCATTCAAGTCAAGCATATATTTATTCTTATTTTATATTTTCGCTCCATGCATATTGAATTATGGATTAATTTTAATGCAAAAAAGAGTATTAATCACACTATTCTACTAACACTTTAATAATTTTCGCCGAGTTGAGTGTAAGCGGAAATAAGAAAAACACGATAGTTTAGCCCATAATACAGATTGTACGCATACAAAAAACAAATTCATTAAGTAATACAGGTATCGTACATCACCAAAAACAAATTTAAACCAAATTCCACGCAGATAAACGTCACAGTACTGCATCATATAATATTTCTGTCTACAAAAAAATGGAATTGTACAATGCGATAATTGCGATCGAAGCACAAAATAATATTTACTCATCCCCAAAGTGACCAACACAAGACCATTGAAACTTACAATATCCCATAACACTGATGAAATGAATCCTTATTCCGTAGAAAGACCATTGAAACTTACAATATCCCATAACACTGATGGGAATGAATCTTTATTCCATAGAAACACAATTGAAACTTACAATACCCCATAACACTGATGGGAATGAATCTTTATTCCATAGAAAGACTATTGAAACTTACAATACCCCATAACACTGATGGGAATGAATCTTTATT